CGACCCAAAAAGTCAGCTTTCCTGCTCCTCTGATGCTGCCTGGCCTGTTGTGTTCATCCAGCTCCACACTGTGTTTTTGAATACGCAGATAACGATGGGCCAAATGGCCTTTACACGTGCCATAGATCTCAATGAATAATTTTCCCATGGCACACGTTGAGCCTGTGGTTTACTGCTTTCTATCTCCCTCCCTTTTTGAATAAAGGAGTTACATTTATCTTGAAAATCTAATGGGACATTCCCTAATCAAGGAATTCTAGAAAATTAAAACCATCATATCAACTATCTCGCTAGTTGCTTCTTTTCAGATCCTAGGATGAAGTCCACCAGGATCTGGGCAACTGTCAATCCACAGCTCCAACAACATAGAATCATAGAAACCCTACAGTGTACGAAAGAGGCCATTCAACGCACTGAGTCTGCACCAACCCTCCAAACAGCATCCTACCCAGACCCAGTCCTCTACTCTTATCCCAGTAAGCACCTATTTCCTATGGTTATGCCACCTCGCCTGAACACTACAGGCAATTTAGCATGGCCAATCCACCTAACCTATACATCTTTGGACTGTAGGAGGAAATTGGAGCACCCGGAGGAAACCCACGTAGGCACGGGGAGAACGTGCAAACTCCACACACAGTCATCAAGGCTGGAATCAAATGCAAGTCACTGATACTGTGAGGCAGCAGTACTAACCACTAAGCCACTGTGCCACATACTGAGCTGATTCTGAATTTCCCTTCCATTTCCTGATATATTGTTGCTTCCAGGATTTTACTCACATCTTCTATAGTGAAGCTTGGCCCCTAGTGGCTGGAAGGGGAAAAGGAAGGAGGAGATACAGGAGGTAACCACAAACTCCACAATGAGAGGGAGGAGAGGGACAATACTTACGAGTGTAGCCCATGGACACCACCTTCCAGCTGAGCGCACAACGTTCGCTTTTCAAACTTCAGATCCCCAGAGTACATCATGGCTCTAGAAACAGCACAAAGTCAGTCAATGACACAAGATCACCATAGTAGGGGTAAGGTGAGACGAGATAGAGAGGGAGAGGATGGCTGGAGAGGCAACAAGAGGGGTCATGGTTGTACCTGAGCTGTGTTAGGCTCTTGGCTCCAATATCCTGGCAGCCATGTTGGATCCCAGCAATCAGGTATGGAACAAACTTGTGGATGGATCCCTTGTCCTGGACGGCACCAGACACACCCTGAGCCACTTTGATCTTATCTGACTCGCTGGGAAGAAGGAACAGAATTACTTTGGGTCAATCAATAGACAACTCCACATTAGACACAGCAGTCTTCAACCGGTACATATACCCCATATTTAAGGAATGTTGTTAGATCCAGCTTCCTTCACTGAAGGATAAGTCACAAAGTCCGATTTTTCAAAACAAAAGAGCAATTATGAGACTTTTCTGATCTAGTGCCAGAGAAATCACCAGACTTCATTAAATTCACTTCCACCAGAGTCCGGGTTAAACCTTTAATTTCTGCTTTTGTATCCAAGTTAAATGCCCTGCTAAACAATCTCCTCTCCAACTGTTAATCTGCTGTCCATTGTGACGTGTTGTAAATTAGTAAATTATTGATGTAAATTTCTAGCTGCTTCAGGTGATATTGAAGTCAGAAACAGACACCCCATTTTGCAACCTGATGAAACTTGGTAGCTATTTTTCTGTCCAAGATGGACATTAGAAACATTTTTACAAACATACCAACACCCCTCAGATTCATAACTAACCTGAAGTAGCGGCTTTGGCTGCCCAGGTGCTTATCCATCGCATCCAAGGAGCCCATTCCTCGATACTTCTTTAGCCTCACTCCATCAGTGAAGAAATACTCGCCAGGAGTTTCATTAGTGGCAGCCAGCAGTGATCCCATCATCACTGTCAGGAAAAGGAGGAGGATCAACAATCACAAACCAAGCCATTTCAACCAGTCACTCCTGAGAAGAAGCAATTTCTGCCAGCATCTAACAATGAATTTGCATTTATATAATGCCTTTCACAATCTTAGGACATTGCAAAGTTCCAGCAAAATACCACTGAAGTGCAGTCACTATTCTAATGTAGGAAATATGGCAGTCAAATAGCAGTCAGCAAGCTCCCACAACCAAAACAACAATAACCTGTTGATCTGTTTTAGCAATGTCAGCTATGGGACAAATAAAGGCCCTATGACACTGAGAAGAGCCAACTTTTCTTCAAAATCTTTATATGGAACCTCTGACATTCAGACCTTTCTTCAGAGAGCACAGCCAAAACTTCCTCAGTTCAGTATTGGCCCTGCAACAATGCTGAGAATACCACCCCACTACCATCTGCAAGTTCCCCTCCAAGCCATTCATCATCCTGAATTGAAAATATATTGCTGTTCCTTCAGTGTCGCTGAATCAAAATCCTGGAATTCCCTCAGCACATGGACTGCAGCGGTTTAAGGAGGCAGCTCACCACCACCTTCTCAAGGACATTAAATACTGGGCCTAGGCAGCGACACTAACATCCATGAACAAATATATCAAAGAAACGTCCTGCGCTAGCAGAGTAAGCTTGAACTCTGTGCTTACATCTCAGGAGTAGGACTCTCATCTAGAGCTGTGATACCAACTGAGTGAGTGTAGCATCACTGATGGACTAGAGCAGGAACACAGTCAAACCTGGCTGCTTGCTTTGTGGAATCAATAATTCAGCAAGGATTGGGTCCTGGGCCCCTACGGCGTTTCATAGGAATTTACTGAGAGAATACCAGATGCTTGTTCCTCTGTCTCCCAGACTTCAGTGATTCACCCACCTGTCGATGCTCCCAATGCCAAAGCCTTTGCAATATGGCCAACAGTCTGAATCCCACCATCCGCGATTACTGGCACTGAGAATCTCCTGGCGTACTCTGCAACCTTGTAAACCGCGGTGGCCTGAGGTCTCCCCACAGCCAGCACTGGGCAAGAAACAAACAAAATGTCAACAGGGGAAACAGTGGCCTAGTGGTATTATTGCTGATTAATCCTGAAAGCCAGGTAACGTTCTAGGGAACCGGGTTCGAATCCTACCACAGCAGATGGTGGAATTTAAATTCAATAAAAATAAACCAGAATTAAGAGTCTAATAATGACCACGAAACCACTGTCAGGAAAAGTTCTTGTTCACTCATGCCCTACATATGACCCACAACAATGTGGCTGACTCTCAACTAACCTCTGGACAATGAATGGTCTTGGCAGAGAAGCCCACATCTCATGAATGAATATTCAAAAAAATACAGTGAGACAGCTCAGGCCATCACATATTATATAATTCTTGGCATCTGCAGCATTTATTGCCTTTTTCCACTTCCATTGAGGAGAAACTGAGTCAACCACTTGATATCCTGGTGGTTAGATGTCAACTAACAAACCTCACAGTGAGTCACTTCAGAGGGTGGTTCTGAGTCAGCCACATTGCTGTGGGTCTGGAGTCACATGTAGGCCAGACCAGGTAAGGATGGCAGTTTCCTTCCCTAAAGGACATTAGTGAACCAGATGGGTTTTCACAATTTCATCAATAGCTTCATGGTCAGTTTAACCCAGGCTGGTTTATTTATTTTTTTAAACTGATTTTCCCCATATGGATATGAAACTGCTGTTCCCTAGATTATCATAGAATCCTAGAATCAGGCCATTTGGCCCAGTAAGTCCACACTCACCCTCCAAAAGAGCATCCCACCCAGACCCACCCCCATACTCTAACCCTATAACCCTGCATTTCCCCCGTGGCTAACCCACCTAACCTGTACATCCCAGGACACTATGGGCAATTTAGCATGGCCAATCCACCTAGCATGCACATCTTTGGACTGTGGGAGGAAACCGGAGCACCCTGAGGAAATCCATGAGGATGCAAGGAGAATGTGCAAACTCCACACAGACAGTCGCCCGAGGGTGGAATTGAACCAGATTCCTGGTGCTGCGAGGCAGCTGTGCTAACCACTGTGCCGCCCATTTAATGCAAAATAACATTTTTAATTATCCTGTTCAGAGAGATAACACATCCTGTACCAAGTAGGCCTTGAACTGATACCTCATTGTACCTATGTCAGCTTATTGGACAATTAAAGAGGAGAAAAACATTATTGTGATTTGTAACAATGGCTGGAAGGTTCTGTTAGTAACATGGGGAGTTGAAACAATTTGGAATTGAACACACAGAGAGACATCCAAAAAACACCATCTGCCGCTCGCTGACAGTCCCCTGTGCAAACCACATACCTCACTGACGGAGTTGTGTATGTGTCAGTCCTCTGTGGGGCAGGGGAGTGTGTGCATGCATGCACTCATGCGAGTATATATGTTATGCATGTACATATCAAGACTATATCTAGGTTTGGTGGTGCTTCAACTGCCCCACGATTCCCACTTTTCCAAAACTCAAACATCGCCATAAATATTTGGCTGTAAAACAGGATGTTTATGAAGGCATGCTTAGGTTATAACAGCTCCTGCAATATAACAAGTTATAGCAATACCACACAACATTCTTTCAGATTCCAAACAGCAAACATCAATCAGATTGTTGAGACACACTGGAAACTGTACATTCAGAATCTGCAAAGGGTCCAGGAATCACAAAGTGAGAATGAACACAACATAAGGACAGGGCCTTTGCAAATCAGCTAGTCACTGCAGAAATGTGCAACACACCCAGGACAGGTACAGAATAAAGCTTACTGCACACTGTCCTATAAACCAGTCCCTGGACAAATACAGCACAGGGTAAGATATAGAACATAGAACATAGAACATAGAACATAGAACAGTACAGGCCCTTCGGCCCATGATGTTGTGCCTAACTTTTACCCTAAACCTAAGGTCTATCCAACCTCCACCCCTACCTTATAGAGTTTTAGATTAAAGCTCCACCTACAATGCTCCCCATCAAACACTCCCAGGACAGGAACAGCACACAGGATCAGATATAGAGTAAAGCTCCCTCTACCCTTAAAATGAAGTAAAGCTCTACTTACATTGTCCCAGGACAGGGATAGCACGGGGTTAGATACAGAGTAAAGCTCTCCCTACACTGTCCGCAAATGCTGACAGGACAGGGGCAGCATGGGGTTAGACACACAGGAATTTGGAATTGCCCATTTGGCCCCTGGATCTGCTCCTCCATTCAATAAAGCCATTGGCTGATCTGATTGAAGTCCCAACTCACCTCAGCTGTCTGTCCTCATCCCCAAACCCTTGATTCCCGGCACATATCAACAATCAGTGTACCTTGGGCTGTTTTCTACATAGAACATAGAACAGTGCAGGCCCTTCGGCCCACGATGTTGTGCCGAACATTTACCCTAAACCTAAGGTCTATCTAACCTCCACCCCTATCTTATACTATCATCCATATGCCTATCTAATAGCCGCTTAAATGCCCCTAATGAGGCCGACTCCACTACCCTCTCCGGCAACGCATTCCACGCCCCTACCACTCTCTGAGTAAAGAACCTATCTCTGACGTCTCCCCGATATCTACCTCCACTCACTTTAAAACTATGCCCCCTCGTAATAGCTACCTCCACCCTAGGAAAATGTCTCTGGCTATCTACTCTATCTACACCTCTGATCATTTTGTACACCTCTATCAAGTCGCCTCTCATCCTTCGTCGTTCTAAAGAGAAAAGCCCTAGCTCTCTCAACCTTTCCTCGTTAAGACCTTCCCTCCAATCCAGGCAACATCCTGATAAATCTCCTCTGCACCTTTTCTAACGCTTCCACATCATTTCTGTAATGAGGCGACCAGAACTGGACACAATACTCCAGATGTGGCCGAACTAGGCTTTTGTATAGCTGAAGCATAACTTCATGGCTCTTGAACTCAATCCCTTTACATTTTCTATTTCCTTTGAATTAAATGGCTATGTTCCATTTGCCTTTCTATGTACTTGCTGAACCTGCATTCTAAAGTTTTGTGATTTATGTACAAAGACACCCAGATCCCTCGGATTGCAGAGCTCTCAGCTACAACCTCCGTTTCAACAAGATGCTGCTTTCCAATCCTCCTGCCAAAATGGACAAGTTCACATTTTCCCACACACTGGTCCATTTGCCAAGATTTTGCCCACTTCCTTCACCAATACATACCCTCTTGCAGATTCCTTTAATCCTCTTCACAACCTACACGCCCATCTACTAAACCAGCAGCAAATCTAGAAACCAAGCCTCCTGACCCTGTGTTCAACTAACTGAAGTAGGTTGTACATTGTCAAGGCTCCAGCTCTGTTACAGTTCACTAGCTACAGCCTGTCACCCTGAAAAAGAATCATTCATCCTGATTCTATGCTGACTGTTAGCTAACCAAACATCTACCTGTACCAGTGTTGTATCCCATACACCATGAATTCTTATTTTATATCATAACCTTTCATATGAAAATTTATCAGATGTCTTTTGGAAATCCAAAAGCAACGTGGGTTCCTCTTTATCCACTGTGAATGTTACTTGCTAAAAGAACTGTAATAACTCAACATTGTCCACATCAAACACTCCCAGGACAGATACAGCACAGGGTTAGATACAGAATAAATGTCCCTCCACACAGTCCCTAAACATTCAAAGCAGTCCATACAGTTGGATACAGTCTATGTCTGCATTTCTACAGGATTAATAGGTGGAATGGCCCTCAGAGGTTGTTAATCCTCTGGCTGTTCCCTTGATGGTTGTGGGAAGCAAGGAAACTTTCCAAATTGCAAGTTGGGGGTGAGTAATAGCTTTGCCAGCGATGCCCAAATCCCGTGAAAGAATGGGTTAAAAAGAAAGTCATGCAGGCAGTGGTATTTCAATCCCGGGAATATATGAGAGGTCAGTGAATCATTAACCTCAGTTACCACAACTGCAAGCAGATCGAGCGGACAAGAGATTGAGAAATGGTATAAAGGTGCTCATAACTGAAACAGTCCGAACATGCTGAAATGGCCAAAGCAGAGCAAGATCCCAGCCAAATTTATTTCAGTCTCCCAAACCCAACATGAACTCTTATACTTCATTCTGACTAGCTGTATCAAAGATTGGTTTTCAAACAGGAAAGAATAAAATGTGATGTTTCACTATCAAGCAGACTGCCTACAGGGAACCCCAGTGAGAGTCAGTATGTGTGGGACCCCGTACCCCAACGACTGTGTGTGTGTGTGTGTGAGAGAGAGAGAGAGACCCGTAGCCCAATGAGAATCAGTGTGGGTGTATGGGACTTGTACCCCAGCAAGAATCAGTGGGTGTGGGACTGTACTACAGTGAGAGTTTGTGTGTGTGTGTGTATGTGTGAGAGAGAGAGACACAGAGACAGAGAGAGACCTATACTCCAGCAAGAGTCAGTGGGAATGCGACTGTACCACAGTGAGAGTCAGTGTGTGTGTCTATGTGGGACTCCTACCCCAGCAAGAGATAGCATGCGTGGGACACATACCCCAGTGAGAGTCAGTCTCGCCACAACTAGTGGGGAGGACAAAGTGTAGATCCCTCAGTTTCCTCATTTCAGGTTCACTATCCTTGCAATATTTAGCTGCTTCAGACACTGGGAGAAGTTAAATCAGCCACAAAACTCCAATTGTAACCACAAATGGTTTTCTCTTGTCTATTCGGTCTAGTCTGGGGAAGGTGGGACATAGAGAAGCAAATAGTCAGAGCACAGCCAATCACGTTCCGACCTCCGACACAACAGGCTTGAAAAGAAACTTACTGAAAGAGCCCGAGATTGTCGTTGGGAGTTTGGGGCTGAGTGTTTTAAAATCTGGAGAAATCTTGGGTGCTGCTAAAGACCAGAGAGACAGAGAGAGATGGAGATTATAGTGGAAAGCCACACCACAGAGTGAGCGAGACAGAAAGCAAAGCTGGAGGGACAGGAGTGACAATCCTGCCACACTGCAATAGAAATCTCATTCTCTCAACACAAGGTGACTATTCTGCTCGCTATCCTCCACATCTGGTACACAGTTCAAGCTCAGTGCTAAAATCCAGACCCTACCTTCTCCTCCCATATCAACTACCCTAAATCTGTGCTGTTACTGTCCCTCCTGCCACTGGAAAACAGATTCTCATGAATCCTTCCCTCAAAACGCAAGATGGTTTTGAACAACCAGATTAAATCTACCTATAGCCTTTCCGCTCTAAGGAGAACAATCCCAGCTTCTCCAGTCTCTCTCTACATTCACTACAGTCCCTCATCTCTGATTCTGGTATGATAAATCTCTTCTGCACTCTCTCCTATGTCTTTACATCCTAGCTGACATGTGGCGCCCAGAACGGAGAACAGTACTCCACTTAAAGCTGAACCAGCACTTTGTACAGGTTTAGCAATACCTCCCTACTCTTGCACTCAATATCCCTATTAATAAAGCCCACAAAACTGTGATTTATTAACTGCTCTCTTTACCTGTACTGCAGCTATTAATGATGTATGCGCACATAGATCTCTCTGCTTCTCAATCAGAATTGTCTATATGTTATACTGTCTCCATTTCCATCCAACTATTAATTAAATTAAACTTCATCTACCACTTGTTGATCATTTCGATCTGCCCCTGTCCTTTCGGAATCTGTTACTAATTCCTATCCCCTTTTCCCAATATCTCTTGGTTAAAAGAAATCACAGCAACTAGACGAGCAGACTTTGCTCCCCTCTTCACCACCCAGAGCACAGCTGTTTCAGTAAACCCTCCACCTTCTCAACAGCAAGGTGATTAGACTGTGCCTTCACACCCTCCCCCCTCGTTAGCTCTTGGAGAGATGAGCAGATTATTGAAATTTCCTATGACAGATATCTTTCAGGGTCAGTAAGGGGAGGCGATGGCCTAGTGGTATTATCGCAGGACTGTTAATCCAGAGACCCGGAAAACATTCTGGGGACCCGGGTTCAAATCCCATCTCGGCAGATGGTGGAATTTGAATTCAATAAAATATCTGGAGTTCAGAATCCATTGATTGTCAGGAAAAATCCCATCTGGTTCACTAATGCCCTTAGGGAAGGAAACTGCCATCCTTACCTGGTCTGGCCTACATGTGACTCCAGACCCACAGCAATGTGGTTGACTCTGAACTGCATTCTGGGCAATTAGGGATGGGTAATAAATGTTGCCTAGCCAGTGATGCTCACATCCCATAAACAAATCGTGAGGAATTCTCACACTTCAGTTGTTCAATTTCAACTAAAAACTGAAAAGGAGGAATAATACAAGCTTTGAAATCCATCAATGTGTTATGAAATCAGTCAAATGGTCGATGGAAGCACTGTAAAACTGATACCTATTGAAATTAACTGACATAGTGACTGGTGCATCACACAGGGGACCCACGAGTCCTGCTCTCATTATTTTGGGAGTGCTTAGAATCAAACCTTGCAGAGCTAGAAATAAGTTTCAAGAATTCAGGAAATCCGCTGACTTACAAAAGAGTGAGGAATGAATTACAAACAAGAATTTCAGAATGGGGCAGGGTTCTAAGCTGCTGGGATCTAATGGATAGTGCAGGGATTGGAACAATATATAGAATAGAGGAAGTGCAGCTGAGAAATCCTGGCAACCATCACTGAGGTAGCCTTACGAGCAAAGGAGGATCCCAGGAGTGAGAATAAAGAGACAAACAGATGCTGAGCCGAGCTGATAGACAGTCAGTGATTGGTTAGGGTCAGGACTCAGAATATTACCTTCCTGTGTGATACAGATGGAACCACTTCCCATTCCGACTCTCAGGGCATCCACTCCAGCATCAATCAGATTCTTGGTCTGTGCTGCAGTCACAACTGACAGAAATAGGGACAGGGAGAGACAGAAGAAAATAGTAAGTCATTCCATAAGAGGAGGTTGATCACTTGCCTTAAACAACATGTAGAAATAATTTCCTCAAACCTACCAGGGATGGGGACTTTGGATCATGCAGAAAAACTGGGGGGAAATATTGTCCCATAGCACGTTTCAAAAACAAAACTCCAGCGCCAGCCAATATTTAATTGCTCAATCAACATCATCTATACCAATTACCTGGTCATTAGAAGGGGGAGCTTAGTAGGAACTTGCTGTGTACTGCTGTGGGGAGGTGTGATGTAGCAGTAATATCACAGGTTTGGTAATTCAGAGGCTCCAGGGAGATGGGCTTATCCCACCACGGCAGGTGGTGGAATTAACATTAAATAATTAAATCTGGAATTGAAAGCTAGTCTCGGTGACGGTGGCCATGAATCTGTCGATTGTTGTTAATGCCCTAAAACCAGAGAGCACACAGGAGATTTTCACGATGTTTGCCATAGCTTGAAAATTGCAACAATGAAGAAAGGTCGGACAGACTTGTTATGTTTTCCATAGAACACAGGGGTGACTTAACTGAGGCATACAAAATAATGAGAAGCTCCAATAGAATGGACAGGGAAGACCTGTTTCTGTTGGTAGAGGGGTCAGTTACTGCAGCAGAGGGCATATTTAAGGTGAGTAGAAGGAGGATTAGTGGGCACGAGGTAAAGCTTTCTCAACTAGGTGTCTGGAATGTGCTGCCCAGTTTGGTGCTTCAGGCATTTAAAGGGAAAATGTACAGAGTGGGAAGATGGTGAAACCTGCAAGGTGATGGACGAGGTGCTGGGAAGTGGGATTGGAACAGATAGCTATCGCAGATACAAAGGCCTGAATGGCCTCTTTATGGGCTTTAACTTTTTTTATAATTCTCTAAAACACTAAAAATGCAAGACTGTCTTCCATTAATTTTGGAGATTTTTGTTTAATTGTTCATATTTACAAGGGATGTGGATATCACTGGCCGGTCCAGCATTTATTGCCCCATCCCTAATTATCCTTGAGAAGGTGGTGATGAGCTGTTTTTGTGAACTGATGCAGTTCATGTGTTGTAGGTTGACCCATGCTGCGGTTAAGGAGAGCAGTTTGGGGAGTGGGCGGGTTTAGCAGAATTTATTTTCCACAGTGAGCTCTGGTGATCCTGAGCATGCTGCCTAAAAAGGCAATAGAAGCAGATTCAATAAAAACATTCAAAAGGAATCAGATAAAGTCCTGAAAAAAGAGAAGTCTGCAGGGCTATGGATTCAGAGCAGAGGAGTGGGGCCAATTGGCTAACTCTTTCCAAGAATCAGTACAAACACAATGGACTGAATGGCAGCCACTTTGTCAGATTTGTTAACAATACATGAAGAGTCACATCACCGCATTTCAAGTGAGCGTTACCAAGGAGTTTCAATCATGTGAAAAGTTGCTGAATTTTACCCAGAGTAACAGAGGGAGCAAATTGAATGGCTCAGATAAGCGACATAAATTACCATTTCCACCAATAACTTGCAGGTCTGGATACTTCTCCTTGATGTGTTTAATCATCTCAATTTGGAAGATGGAATTCCCTTGGGAGGAATCCTGTGGACAGAGTTGCAGGGGTGGGGGCGGTGGTGGTGGGAGAGAGATGGAGGAAGAGGAGGAAAGAAGCAAGAAGGAACAGAGAAAAGTGGAGACAGCAAGAACAGTGCATTAGCTTCCAGCATCTAATTATGTCTCCATCCAGCTGTGTCACAAACTGACCCTCCCTACACACACATTTCTACAATTTGTTTACTTGTCTCTGTTATATGTTTGTGTTCAAGTCACACCAAACATCTACTGGATGTCATATTAAAATTCTCAGATGCAGATTATACATCATAGAATCCCTACAGTGTGGAAACAGGCCCTTTGGCCCAACAAGTCCACACCGACCCTCAGAGCATCCCACCCAGACCCATCCCCCTATAACCCACCTAATCCATACATCTCTGAACACTAGGGGCAATTTAGCATGGCCAATCCACCTAGCCTGCACATCTTTGGATTGTGGGAGGAAACCGGAGCACCCGGAGGAAACCCACGCGGATATCAGGAGAACGTGCAAACTCCATACAGACAGTCACCCAAGGGTGGAATGGAACCCGAGTCCCTGGCGCTGTGAGGCAGCATTGCTACACTGAGCCACCGTGCCGCTACCACCACGATCCCACTGCCACTCTGATTAGGGTGGCACATACATGGAAGGGGTAGTGGGGGGGTGGCTGGGGTTGGTGATGGTGCAGGAGGAGGGGTTTTCCTGGAAAATATTTATCATCCACAAACATCTCCAGAATGGCCTGTCTTGGCATGAGTTCATTGCCCAAGTTGGCTGCTGTTTGTGACATTACAGCAGTAACAAAGTATTGTATTGGCTGTAGCTTGCATTGGGACACAGAGGATGGGAAAGGTGCTTGAGGAATGCAAAGCATTCTTTAGGACAAATTGGAGAAGTTGTGTTTGATGGCAAACATTTGCAAATTGCAAACAAGAGTGTGTGCTGATTTGTGGTGATTGGTACCAAAGGAACTCACCAGGACCACGGCATCCACACCAGCCTGCACCAAGAGATCCAGCCGGTACTTGTCATCTGCATGAGTACCGATTGCAGCTCCACACAGCAGCTGCTTCTTGCAGTCTTTCGATGCCAGTGGATAATCACGATTCTTCTTCAGGTCAGTTCGGGCAATGAGAGCCACCAACTCGTCATTATCATTAACGATGGGCAGCTTCCCTGAGACAGAGACATAAGACAGTCAGGGGTCCTGGGGCCACAGGGACATATGGTATTTAACAGCAGCTTCTTGCTCAGTTGGACTGCAATCTCTGACAACCGAGCTGAGTAGCAGTCATCAGTAGTAACATGAAGCTCTTGCTGGATCACAGAATTACAGAAAACATTTAACCCACTCCTCTAATTAGTCTCCTGTAATCTCATTGTCCAAATACTGTAACTGTTATCCCAGAGTTATTCACACCCTCTTCAAATGAGGACAGTTTCAAAATGCCAGAGATTCTGCTTTTGTACAAACTTATAGATCCTGCAATCCTCTGATCTTCTCAGCGTTGACTAATCCACTGACTGCCCACAGCCCACACACAGATCCACAGATGTGTTAAGAAACCAGCAGACACAGAATTCACACAAAAGTGACAACTCTGTCATCACTGATGGTTTGGGTTCAGTCTCGGTGGGTGCAGCTGCTCCTTTTACCTTTCTTACTCCGCTGCAGGATCTCGTTTGCTCTTTTCAAAGTGACAGCAGCCGGGGCAACCACCAGATCCTCCCTCTTTGTCATGACCTGATGCAGAAACAGGGTAACACAGTCTCAGCTACAGGTTAACGTACAGTGGAATGTCCAGTAGGAGATGCCAGCCCCCCTGCCCCACCCAACTCTCCCCAGTGATACAACTCCCATTCGGTTTTCCATAGGCCTTGACCATTTTGCTTCCCTCTCTCAAGGTTCCGCTGTTTTGCCTGAAGCTAGACTGAGTCAATGTTAATATCATTCCAATCAATGAGAATTCATCTCATCAATCTCATTCTTCCACAGTCTACAGGGAATGATCACAGTCACCACACTGTCTCCAAGTAAGAGATCTTTATTCCTGGGAGATGGTGGTGTTAATTTCACTGGACCGGTAATCCAGGGGCACAGGTTCAAATGCTAGCAAGGCAGCCGGTGGGAAGTTAAATTCAATTAACAAATATGGAATTGAGAGCTAGTCCGAGTGATCACGGAATCCCTATGGTGTGGACACAGGCCATTCAGCCCATCAAGTCCATGTCAACCCTCTGAAGAGCATCCCAACCAGACCAAACCCCCTATTAACCATGCATTTCCCAGGGCCAATCCATTTAACCTGCACATCGTTAGACTGTGGGAGGAAACCGGAGCACCCGGAGGAAACCCACATAGATACAGGAACAAAGTGCAAACTGCACGCAGACACAGTCACCCAGGGGTGGAACTGAACCCAGGTCCCTGGTGCTGTGAGGCAGCAGTGCTAACCACTGAGCCCAATGCTGCCCAAATGGTGACAATGACATAATCTGTGATTGTTGTAAAAACCCATCTGTTTCACTCATGTCCTTCTGGGAATCTGCCATCTTTACCTGGTCTGGCCTCCATCTGCCCTCTGAAATGGCCTAGCAAGTTACTCAGTTCAAAGACAACAAATGCTGGCACTGCATCTCAAGAGAGAATAAAGATCCCAGGATGAACTCAGAAAATCACTGATTCCCCTGAACATGGCAATCAAACAGGAACCTTCATAGACAAAGCTGGATTCCAGCCACCCTCCAGTGGACACAAACACACTGAGCCTACCTCAGCCAGGGAAAAGTCATGCTCTTTTTCTGTCAAAAAGTCAATGTCACGAGAGGAGATAATTCCCACCAGCCTCCCACCCAGTTTTCCAGTGTCCGTGATGGGAATTCCACAGAATCCATGGCGAGCTTTGGCTTCAAACACGTCCCACACCTTATCCGAGGGGCTCATGACAACTGGGTCAATGATGAATCCCTGCTCATATTTCTACAACACAAATTTAAAACAGAAATAAATTGTGAGGAGAGAAACAAATACAGACAATAGTTACATCAACTGGAAAACAGTGGCAACCTATCGCCAAAAGCCCCACTCTCCAATCTCAGCCTCTACCCTCCCATCCCTTCCTCTCGCAATTATCCTGTCCCCCTTTCTCTCAGGAATACACAGAGTTTGCTGCTGACAGCATGGACTGCATCACTGATCTCTCTTTTTTTATTCATTCATGGGATGAGGGTGTTGCTGACTGGGCAGCATTCATTGCCCATCCCTAATTGCCCAGAGGGCAGTTCAGAGTCAACCACATTGCTGTGGGTCTGGAGTCACATGTGTTTTAAAGAACATAAATCTTCGGAACATTCCACATCATCCCCTCAAGTCTGATCATTTAGTAAAAAAGGAAGAGTCTTTTGGTCTAGTAATCTATTTCCTTGAGTCTTTCTGTCGACTCTCAACCAGTTTACTTCCCCATTTTCTAAAGACCGAATGTGCATCTCCTGCACCTTTCCTTGGAAGAGAAACACAGGAATTCTGCAATTGCTTCATTAGCCCGATGGGCAGGAATCACAGTGTGCTAACATTCTGAGTCCGTACCTTCACTTTGCGGACTTCGTTTGCCTGGAACTCCGGGGTACAGTTGTGGTGGATGAACCCAATTCCTCCCATCAGCTGTGATTTGAATAGAAAGCAACAGGAGTTAGCAGCAATACTGTCCCCACACTCTGAATAGGAGCCAAACACAGGCTCAGCAATAACTCCAGCAACACAATCATGGCAGCCTTTCCATTTCAAATTGAGAATTTAACTCATCACATGCTGTACTGAAACACACACACACTTAACCTGTCAAATAACAAAAAATACTGTGAAAAGCTCGAGATGGTGCAAGACAAATGGATAAAGAAATTCCGGATCAATAACCACACTCCCTGTCAGGAATCAAGTTACATCAAACAGCACCAATTCCACTTGCATCGCATTAACCTCAAACAAATTTCTGCTCAATCAAAATGGCATGCAGTTCCTCAGCAAAGGGGCTCATAGAAATACACTAGCACTCAGGTTCAAGGAGGCAACTCACCACCACTTTCCTGATATGAGGGCGGCACGGTGGCTCAGTGGTTAGCACTGTTGCCTCACAGCACCAGGGACCCGGGTTCAATTCCAGTCTCGGGTGACTGTGTGGAGTTTGTACATTCTCCCAGCGTCTGCGTGGGGTTCCTCCGGGTGCTCCAGTTCCTCCCACAGTCCAAAGATGTGCAGGCGAGGTGGACTGGCCATGCTAAATTGCTCATAGTGTCTAGGGTGGGAAATGCAGGGATAGGATAATGGGCGAGTCTAGGTGGGATGCTCTTTGGAGGGTCAGTGTGGACTTGATGGACCAAATGACTTGCTTCCACACTGTAAGGATTCTATTTAATAATCTCGATCTTGGAATCCAGGAGACAATTTCAAAGTTTGCAGATGAAACAAAACTTGGAGGAGTTGTAAACTGTGAGATCAATGTGAAATTTCTAAAGGACATTGACAAGTTAATGGAGTGGGCAGATGAGGTTCGATGCAGAGAAGTGTAAGGTGATGCACTTTTGTCAGAAGAACACAATGGTATTAGAAAATAGGAGGCATAATTCTAAACGGCGTGCAGAAGCAGAGGGACCTGAGTATATATGTGCACAGATCATTGAAGGTGGCAGGGCAGTTGGAGAAAGCAGTTAATGAAATATACAGTCCTTGACTTTATCAATAGGATCATAGAATACAAGAGAATGTGGTGATGCTGAACTTGTACAAAACTCTTGTTAGACCTCAGCTGGAGCACTGTGTACATTTGTGGACATCACATTATAGGAAAGATGTGGGTGCATTGGAGAGTGTGCAGAAGTGATTTACTAGCATGGTGTCAGGAATGGGAAACTTCAGCTGTGAGGATAGACTGAAGAAATTGGGACTATTCTTCTGGGAGAGAGGGCGGCTGAGAGGAGATCTGAAAGTGGTTGTCAAAACCACGAGCAGACGTGAGAGTAGAGAGCGTGAACCTGTTTCTGCACATAAAAGGAGCCAAGGTGAGAGAGAATGGATTTGAAATGAGTAGTTAGGGTACTGCCTAGAACTGTGGTGGAGGCAGGTTCAATTGAGGCTTTAAAGAGGGTATTGGATAGCTTTTTTGGATAGTAATGTTGTGTGGGGATATGGCAAAAAGGCAGGACATTGGCACTAGATAGTGGAGCTGGTACAGGACGATGGGCTGAATGGCCACCTCCTGCACTATAGCAATTATATGATGCTGCAACACATGGTTTGCACATTCTATGATGGTTAGATCACCAACGGTGCAGCGCACAGGCTCAGAGGTTTGCAGCAAAGACAGTAATCGTTTTATAAATAAATACATCAGATCCAGAAACATCAGATCCCAGACTGAGGACATGGTTTCTCACTCTCTGTACATTAGCAGCACTATCATTGCTAAAAAGGGGCGGGATGGGGTGTAGCTCTGGGATGGGCCCCATGCCACTTACCGCCATTGCAATAGCCATATTAGATTCAGTTACTGTGTCCATTGGAGAGGAGACCAGTGGGGTCTTTAAAGTGATCTTCTTTGTAAGCGCTGAAGTGAGATCCTACAAAGAGACAGAGAATTAAATGACACATAGTCTGTAGGATTTACCCAGATAGTCAAGTGAATTCCTATTCTTTCATTAACCCATCTTTGCCCAACAATAAAACCACCGCCACCATGAATGCCACACTTCTCCAGAAAAATCCACACCTTCCTGGCTCTGTTAGCAACTCAGGAGATGACAGCAATTTCTGAACCCCAATACAAACAGTTCACACACTCAACAATCTGCAAAGAACATTAAAAAGCATTAAGAGTCCATAATAAAGATGACGGACAGCGTACAGGAGGATGTCATGCTGAACCTTTACAAACTGCTGGTCAGGTCCAGCCTGAAATATTGTGGTCAATTCTGAACACCGCACCTTAGCAAGGATGTCCAGGCCTTAGACAAGGTGCAGAGGTGAAGTAAAATAGCACCAGACATGCAGGGCTTCAGGTAATACGGAGAGACTGGGTTTAATCTAAGCACAGAAGGTTAAGGGGATGATTTAATTCAGGGGTTTAAAATCAGGGGTGAATAAAGAGAAATTGTTTCCAGTAGCAGCTGGGGCAGTAGCCAGAGGGGAGATGGAGAGAATGGTGCTTTTAACACAAAGTCATGACCTTGAAGTTATTTGATCTATTCATAAACATGTCCAGTGTTTAAACTTATCCAACAGCTTTATTTTGAAGTTTAATCCTAATACTCACCACCTCATCAGAGGTAAAATCAATGTATCCAGGCAGGATGAGGAAATCACTGAGAGAGACAGAGAAAGAGAAACATCAGTAACATTTAAACATAAGACCATAAGATATAGAAGTAGAACTAGGCCATTCAGCCCATCGTGTCTGTTCTGCCATTCAATCATGACTGATACGTTTGTCAACCCCATTCTCCTGCCATCTCCCCATAACCCTTGATTCCCTTACCAATCAAGAACCTATGCCTGTCTCAAAGACACTCAATGACTTGGCCTCCACAGCCCTCTGTAGCCCGGTTCAATGGAGAGTGCAGGAGGGTATGCCAGGAGCAGCACCAGACATACCTGAAGGTGAGGTTTCAACCTGGTAAAGCTACCAAACAGGACTACTTGCATGCTAAACAGCAAAAGCAGCAAGTGATAGGCAGAGCTAAGCGATCGCACAACCAACAGATCAGATCTAAGCTCTGCAGTCCTGCCACATCCAGTCGTGAATGGTGATGGACAATTAAACAACTCACTGGAGGAGGAGGCTCTACAAATATCTCCATCCTCAATGATGGAAGAGCCCAGCACATCAGGGCTAAAGGCCAAAGCATTCACAGTAATCTCCAGCCAGAAGTGCTGAGTGGATGATCCATCTCGGCCTCCTCCAGTGGTTCTCAGCATTACAGATACCAGTCATCAGCCAATTCGATTCACTCCATGTGATATCAAGAAAAAGGTTGGAGGCACTGGGTATTGCAAAGACCACAGGCCCTGACAACATTCTGGCAATAGTACCGAAGACTTGTGCTCCAGAACTTGCTGCTCCCATAGCCAAGCTGTTCCAGTTCAGTTACAACACTAGCGTCTACCCGACAATGTGGAAAATTGCCCAAGTATGTCTTGCACATAAAAAGCAGGACAAATCCAACCTGGCCATTTACTGTCCCATCAGTCTACTGTTGGTCATCAGTAAAGTGATGGAAGGTGTCATCAACAGTGCCATCAAGCAGCACCTGCTCAGCAACGCCTGGCACATAGGAAGATGGTTATGGTTGTTGGAGATCAGTCATCTCAGTTCCAGGACATCTCTGCAGAAGTTCCTCAGGGAGTGTCCTAGGCCCAACCAGCTTCATCTGCTTCATCAATGACCTTCCCTCCATCATACATCAGAAGTGCGGATGTTCACTGATAATCGCACAAGGTTCAGCACCATTTGAGACTCCTTAGATACTGAGGCAGTCCGTGTTCAAATGCAAAAAGATCTGAGCAATATCCAGGCTTGGGCTGACAAGAACATTCACGCCACACAAATGCCAGGCTATGACCATCACCAGTAAGAGATCTAACCACTGCCCCTTGACATTCACTGGTGTTACCATCACTGATTTCCCCACTATTAACATCCTGGGAATTATCATTGAGCAGAAGCTCAACTGGACTCACCACATAAACACAGTGGCTACAAGAGAAAGTAAGAGGCTAGAAACACTGTCGCGAATAACTCACCTCCTGACTCCCCCAAAGCCTGTCCACCATCTACGAGTGTGATGGAATACTCCCCACTTGCCTGGATGGGTGCAGCCTCAACAACACAAGAAGCTTGACACCATCCAGGACAAAGCAGCCGCTTGATTGGCACTACATCCACAAACATCCACTCCCTCCACCACCGACACTCAGTAGTGGCGGTGTGTACTATCTACTAGATACACTGCAGAAATTCACCAAAAATCCTCAGGCAGCACCTTCCAAGCCCACCCCCACTTCCATCTAGAAGGACACCACCAACTTCAAGCCACTCACTCCCACATGTTTACCTTCTTCTCCCATAAATATATTGATACTATTCACTTTGAACACTCCCTTTGGGAGCAAGTTCCACATTCTTCCCATTCTCTAGGTGACAAGGTTTCACCTGAATTTCCCACTGAGTTTGTTCATGGCTCTCTTACCTCAACAGCCCCAACGGATCTGGTCTCAATCCCACACTTGAAAGCATCTTCTCAACGTCAGCATTAGCGACACACTCTTCATTTTAAAAACCTCAATAAGATCACTCCAAACCTTCTCATTTCTCAATTAAAGAGCCCTTAGTGTTCAATCTTTCCTGACAGTAATATTATAATAATTCATCTCAGTAAATTATCTCTATGTTGTCACCAGTGTCTCTATATCCTCTTACAGGATAACTCCCAGCGTAGTCTGACCAAGGTTCAATACAATTTGATATCTTCTCTGCTTTCCTATTCCATTCCTTTACGAAAGAACCCCAATTGCTTTTTTCCTTCTGCATTTTTATGGCTTTAGCGACATCACCACTTTCAGTGAGCGTTGCATCTGTAACTCTGGATCCCTCTGCTCCTTAAATCCATTCTAACCCAGATTTTTCAGCAGGAGTAATGGTGCAGGGATCCAAACACAGAAGCTACTGGGCGTAGACAATACATTGTATTGTAGAAGTACCTACGCCCAAGGACCGCAGCAATTCAGTGCCTTATTTTCCAGGACAATTAACGACAGGCAATTCTCAGAATCTCACTGTCTTGTGACAAATCTCGTGGAATCTCGTGGCACCGATTATCAAACCACAGAATCAGTTTTCAGTCTGAACTGGAATTAAACAAATACAGCTTCCTCTCGTGTTTTCAATATTTAATACTGTTCTGCTTGTGCCAATTATTAAACTCAATAACAGTCTGTTAAGCAAATCAACTTATCCTACAAATCATCACCATGTGACTTAAACAGTTTCCACCAGATCTGTCAGCCGCAGAGCTCCAATCCAGAGATGAAGACAGGCAGCGAGTTCCAAAGGTACTGGCTGCCCTCTGGCTCCTCACTACAGGCACATGGGAGTGCACTAGCAAGCTATTTGACTATGAGGTGCTCCAACTGGTCCTGCAACCAGACAATATTGCTTGCAAATATTTGCCCCAACAAATCAATCTCCCCATTTGGATACTGAATAGGATACGGTGCCCGGAAGGGTAGGGGGTTTTAGTTGTGACAGGCAGCATGTTGGTGCAGACTTGGAGGGCTGAAGGGCCTGTTCCTGCACTGTAATTGTCCTTGTTCTTTGAATCTCACTTTGATGGCCACCCGTGGTCAGAGACTCACCTGTGGGGCCTTTAAAGGTGACGTTCATTAGTGAATTAGCTCATACAGGCTCAATGGATGAAAATATGACTTGCAGCCTCACCTACACAGAGCTTCAGCAATCACAATCTGCAAGTTAGAACAGGCACAGAAAGCTCTTTGTCTCTTCTCACCTGTCGTATCGTGTCAAGTGACACCTCCACATCTGTCATTTCTGTCTCTTTGAAAACAAACTCCACAGAGGCGCCACCCTTATGAGCCCAATCAATCAGATATTATATTCAAACCCTCAGGACACTGAACCTCACAATGAAAGGCACCACTCCTGAAATACCAATTACGCACAGTGAAATCAAGTAAATGTCAAATACACATCGGTTACTCATCCCTAAATAACGGCCCACTCTTCTTGCAGTAAGAGCCATGGGTGAAGGTACAATGTGGGTGTCGCTGGCTGGACAAGCATTTATTATTATTAATTGCCCCTAATTACCCTTGAGAAGGTGGGGGTGAGCTACCTTCTTAAACTGTTGCAGTCCATGTGCTGTAGGTAGACCCACAATGCCCTTAGGGAGGGAATTCCAGGATTTTGACCCACTGACAAAGGAACAGTGATACTTTCCAAGTCAGTGAGACTGCACAGCAATTTCCTCACTTTACCCCTTCACCTTCCCCCTCCCCACATGCTTTCTCCCCATTCCCCACCTCCCCTCTCTTTCCCATTTATAGCCCTCTCCTCAATGGGCCCCTGCCCCATGTTCACCTCTCCCCCTTGCCCAATCTCCGCCTCCCCACATGCCTCATTCCTAACTCACCCAATATCTCCTCATTCCCCCGTCAAACCCCTCCATCCCTACCCAGCTCCTCCTTCATTCCTTCCCTCACCACGACCCCTTCCGTCCCTCCCCCTCGCCCCGTCCATCCTCTCTCGTCCTATCCACCCCCCC